GTACTTCTTGGCTAATTTGTCGCCTTTCTTCTTCCGGAACTTCTCCGGAACATCCAGGCGAGGCTTGCCGACGAAAAACTTAAGGCCGGGGATCTGCTTGGCGTCCGCTTTAATGTACGTCTCGTCGTCCATTACGATGCTTCCTGGCGTGAGATTTGGCCACCGCATTCTGTTTATCGGTTTGGTTAGGCGCCTTTCTTACCTTGAAGCATGAAGTCTGGCTTGCTTCATTATCTGCTGGACGAACCAGACGGAAGAATTGACCTTCTTGGCCACGTCCCGAATCGAAAGGTTCGGATTGCGCTTGAAGTAATCCTTCACCTTCCTTGCGTTGACGGGGTCGGTCCTCTTCGCTTTTCTTCCGCTGCCAGCTCGCCGCCACGATTTTACCACACGGGACATGGTCGAATTGTCAATTCCAAACTGTTTCGCGATTCACCTGTGGGACTGGTCTGGATTTTCCACGACCGCTTCCATATTTTTTTGTCGAAGCACTTCTTGCTTGGAAGCCATCTCGATAACCACTTGACAGATTTTGACAACTTTTTGCACAAATCAACATTACACTCTAAACTAGTTCTACTCAAAATTTCATAAAATTTTACACATGCAATAAATATACAATTATACACAAAAGAAAGTGATGCATTTTTGCGAGTAAAATCTTTACTTTACTTTTAGCGTGCCAACCCTGCAGAAAAGTATATTTTCCGTCTTCTCATACATAGCATTTTTCCACAACATTGAACGTTTCAACTTTCGTCAACGCCTGCTCTACCCGTGGATTTTCCGTTTGCGGTTTTCAATTTTTTTTTTCGTTTTCATGCCAACTGATCCGAAAACTCAGTGCATAACAACCCGTTGAACTTGAAAAGGAATATTTGGTAGACCAAGTTGGCCACCACAAAATGCGCTATACAGTATGGTAACGAATTTTTAAACGAAATCTTAAAAAATGGCAAGGGACTCACTAGCCAAGCTGTATTTGTATTTCCAATCGAATTGAATGCTTAAACACTGAAACAAAATCTGAAACAAGCAACAACTTCTCACTGAGCGCTCAAATCCCTGAAGCGACAGCTCTGCAGAACTTTTGGTTTATTGAATTCTACTTAGACACTAAATCAGTAGAAGCGTGGCTAACAAGTATAACTTCAAGTTTGAGATAGCAAATTCCACAGCTTGTCTTATTTCGCGGAAAGTATCATCTTAACATTGAACTTTGCTCGGTTTGCTTTGGAAATAGATTTTTTTTTTTCGGAAAATTTACGATGAATGTCACGTTTACTGTTCCAACCAAGCAGCTTACCATCTCTTGGGTACGATGTGTTAAGGGTATGTTTGTATTTTATATAATTGACTTATACAAATACCTGACTATTCTGGCTAAATTATTCTGCAAGTCATGATTTGCATAAAATTGGACTGTACTCTAGCATTGGTGAAAACAAACGTCTCGCACGGGAAGAGCATAAATATTTCTATTCATGACCTGCATCCTTCTTTGGCATTACGTCCGACCTACCTTAGTCACAACACAAATCCTTCCTCGAAAGCATCCATACTTTCACCGTAGACCCAAACAATGAAAATCCCTCGATATTGAAAATGTTTTATGCAATTCAATTTCTCCTAATGCCCTTCAAATTGAAAAGTTGGAAAGAGGAAATTGCAATTTCGTGTTCTTTAGCTTTCCATTTCACGCCGCCTGCGATCATGTTGTGCTTCACTGCTGACTACGACAGATGGACGCAAATGTCATCATTTCTCCCTCTACCCTCGTCCTTCTCTCCGGATGTACGGAACCGACCCGAACCGGTAATAAAAGCATCGGTTCTCTCGTCTCGGTAGTGAACCGGCGATCATGATTTCACTTCATTGTCATTCGAATCAAACTTCCGTCATCGACCGTCCTTACATCTCACCAAAAGCAAGCTCTGTTTACGGTCCCTCATAGTCTTGCCTATCAAGTATTCATTGTTTTCATCGTACCTGTCGTTCCACTTGACGTGGCCTACTTTTTCAATAATGAAAGAAACTACGACTGAAAATCGGTTAATGTTTGCAGTAAAAGGAATTCTGTTCAATTCGCAAAGTACTAACGTGCAGATTGACCATTGATTGCGTGAAGCAAATATGTGAATACTCGAATGAAAACAGTGAACAAACTCCATTTTGACAATTATAATTTGTTCTGCTGGTTAATCTATAATCCTCCACTGACAGCATGTAATGTTTCTACTTATCCAGGATAAACTGCAAAAATCCTCTTTATATGCACTATGCAATTCAATGGCAACGGTTCTGAAGGTAGCATTCATGTTCAGCACACTCACCTGTCCGACAGAGTTCCAACCGCCCGAACAAAACCACCAATCCTTTACTTTACCAAGCCAAAATGTGTGCGGTGTGTTGTGCAATTGCGTTATCTGCCACGATGCACGCGAGCGCTTTTGAACACCACGCACAACCACACCAGCAGGCGGCGACGGAAACCGTGCATCCGGAAAATCCGATTTCCATAGTTGCACAACGCACCCTGCTTGGCATCGCTTGCTGTGCTCACACGTTTTTCGTTTCACGCTTCTGCGGAATCAACTAAAAATCAGGACCTGTGCGCCATTTGAATGATTGGTTTCCCCGGATTTGCTAATCTGCAGATTTGCTGGGAGTAAATAAAACTGTTTGAAACGTTAAACTCCCTTCTGGGGGTGGTTGTGTTGATTTTGGTGTACCGTTTCATGAAAAAGAATTAACCGTATAAAATCGCTAACGCAACAATAAAAAAAAATAAACGAAGATTTTATTTCGGCACCAAACAAAAAAAAACACTTGTTCAGCCATCCAATAAGAAATTTGTGGATTCTATTACCCTATTTTAGATTTGATTCTAATAACACGCTCCAAAGTTTTCAAATTGAACTTAGTCCGAATCAATCTCATTTCAAAGGACCTCTTCATATTAATTGGAAAACCAAACTTTATTTTAACCACATTAATTTATTCTGAAAACCCTAAACAAAATCTACCTGGAGACTGTGTGTTCTGTTTGCCTTCTGTTTAAAGACGAATTTTTTCCTCTAACCAATCACAGACGAACGTCCATATTATTAAGGAACTCGGATGTCAATGTCCAAAACGAAAAGAGTAGAAAGCTTTTTAAATCAATTTCCAAAATGATAAAAGCAAATAATTCTAAATGTGTAGCTTTTCTCTGTCTAATGTAAGCGATGACGAGGTTCCATATAACTGTGTTATTTTAAGCACTTAAGATCTTCGGATAACACTATCTCCGCAAAAAAAGAGCTTGCTGAATGTCATCGGTCACCCCAATTCGTCCCAAATGGTCAATTTAAGCTTCAGTGATATGTAACTGCTCCCTACCTCTAGATTTTAGAAGAACGAGTGGGATGAGGTGGCTGCGTCCGGGAGTCGAAAAAAGAAATCCAACAATAAAAAATGTCTGTAACGGAGCTGAAACACACTCCACTCCATCCAGCATGAAAAAACAAGAAACGGAATCAAAAAAAATCCTGACGTAGCTTTGTTCCACCACGTCTCGTGTCAAGTATCTGTGTTATCATTTTCGATTCACGCTTCGGCAAATTTCAATTATCTAAAGCAAAGTTTCGGAAGTCGGAATGGCGACATAGTAGGCTACGGACCGGACGATGACAAAATTTGACGTTTAATGTTGCTTCATTGAGTGATCTTTCTTTTGTTGCAACGCGCCTGCTTGGATCCTGCCTGTCTGCTAAAAATTAAATTCCACACCGATTATCGACCTCTAGCCAATGATGCGAAACCCGTTTCATGCCATCTCGTCCCAAATCTGGTGAAGTGGAAAAAGGTCTCGGCCGTTTGGATTCAAGCGGGACATCGATCGTCAAGTGTTTGAATAACAATAAGGGATTATTCCCGGACGGCAATAAACTGCCAGAACGGGACTACTCAAACACAATTAAATATTAAAGCATTTCACATATTTTGCACTTGTGCTAGATTCAGTCAAATTTCAACTTTCCTTGACGTGTGGAAACAATGTTTTCAGGAATAACAAATTGGGAACATCTCCAACCACTCGCTCCAAACTAAACAACTTAATTGAAACCTTCCATTATCGTCTTCCCACAGACGACGCCTCATTCCGAAAGGCCTCCTTTGTCGGACTATGGTTATGAAAGTTGCCACAGGCCAAACAACCTCCCACACTGGAGATTTCAGACACTACCCACTACCGAATACAATAACGCATCTGTTAGCCAAACTGTTGGCACGGTTCTGCTTCATCGAGCCTTACCTATAATGTGTATTTCTATATACAGGGTGAGAAAAAATTATCCGACGTTCATGTTTTAATCTCAATTTTAATGATTTTATTGAATTACAGCATACATGGATGTCTCGAAATGTCCTCATTTGGCTGTCTCACAACGATGCCATGTATTCAGATTTTTGCACTCGAAAAAAATCGGGACCCTCTTGTTTATGTTGATACCGTAAGGTTCTGGAACAAGTTTTAAAGCTCAACAAATCGTTTATTTTTTTTTGTGTACAAGAATCAGTATTTATGGCATCGCTGCTGCCACACACACCTTTAACCGTTTAGCTGAATTGATCGGCGATCGACGTTCGTTCCTGTACAGATGTGTAGCATACTATAGACATTGGTCAGACTGGTTTTCAAACGATCCAAGGATGTTTGTGACATATGTTGAAGCTCATCATACCGTTTTATTGTATCTCGGACGGTTCGTAATGATCTTGGTTTCATAAGGGCGACCAACCGCTTCGAACGCAAAATTTGCCCGTTTTTTACAGTGAATCAAGGCCCAAATTGGCACAGGGTGCTAAATTTAGCATCTGTCAAATACGAGCTGTGCACTGAAAAAAAAGAGGCAGATCATTTCTCCTCACCCTGTAGGTCGTATATGAATAGCTCATGTGTGAATCGCCCATTAGTAATAAATTTCCTCCGTTGTTTGTGTCTGTCATTTCAGAGAGCTGTTCGCATCAACAAACAGCGCAAAGGACTACTATGCCTGCAATGCTCGTAAATAACACGCAGCACTAGGCCTGCCTGAGCCTACTGCGATGAGCAACAATGGACCATTGGCATCAACGAGGGCAAACGAGCAACATTTAGTGGTTTACTTTGGTGTTTCGAGACCAGAACAGTGAGAGTAATGTTTAGAGAATGGCAATTGTTTCAGTGATACCGGTGAACAACATTACAAACTCGAGTGACAATGGTGCTGGGACAAATGGAACTGTCAATATCGGTGGGGGTGGTGGTGGTGGTGGCGTCGATGGAGGAGGTGGCATGGATGGCTGTCCACGGCAGGACGAAATCCTGTACCCAAGTATGTTTGGGATTGACCTAGCGGTGCCACAATGGGAGGCGATTGCAACCGCACTCGTGCTTACGCTCATTATCATCATTACCATCGTAGGCAATATATTGGTAATACTGAGTGTGTTTACGTACAAACCGCTGAGAATTGTGCAGAACTTCTTCATTGTGTCACTGGCAGTAGCAGATCTGACGGTGGCCATTCTGGTGCTGCCGTTCAATGTGGCCTACTCGATACTGGGCCGCTGGGAATTCGGCATCCATGTGTGCAAAATGTGGCTTACCTCGGATGTCCTGTGCTGTACAGCTTCGATTCTAAATTTGTGTGCAATAGCATTAGATAGGTATTGGGCCATTACCGATCCAATTAATTATGCTCAGAAACGTACCTTGGAGCGGGTCCTGGCATTGATAGCCGGTGTGTGGATACTATCGCTGCTGATCAGTTCGCCACCGTTGATCGGCTGGAATGATTGGCCGGAGGAATTCTCCAGCGAGTTCCCGTGTCAATTAACAAGCAATCAAGGTTATGTTATCTACTCTTCACTAGGATCATTCTTCATCCCATTGGTCATCATGACTATTGTGTACATCGAAATTTACATAGCCACTCGAAGGCGCCTCCGGGAAAGGGCCCAGGCGTCCAAAATCAACACGTTAGCTAGTAGGAGTATCGGGGTAGCAGGCGAAAAAGACACTGGAATGGTGCAGCAGCAACCGGACCAGGAATCAATTAGCAGTGAAACCAACCACAACGAACATCCGCACAATAGCACCAGTAGCAGTAGCAATGAACATCGTTCCCAAAGAAAGCGGAAGAAGAAAGCCAAAGAGAAGAAGGAAGCAAAGGAGGCGGCGAAGCGTGCCAAGCAAAACCAACTCCAGATAGCCCTCCGGGATGAAGATTCCGTTACGGAGTGTCCGGATAATTCGTCCATCGGTGCGAAAGCAAACTGTGATATTAAATCGGCCACTGGTCCCAACGGTACGACTGCAGCAGGTGCAGTGGACGGGGAGGATGGCCCCAATGTCGCCACAGCCACCAATGGCGACAGGAAACAACAGCCAAAAGCAACAACTTCCACGGAAACCCGAGTAAGAATGAAACAATCGTTCCGGAGACCCGGTGGCATGACTCAGTTTATCGAAGAGAAACAGAAGATTTCGCTTTCTAAGGAACGGAGGGCGGCCCGAACGCTCGGCATCATCATGGGGGTGTTTGTGGTCTGCTGGCTGCCCTTCTTCCTCATGTACGTAATCCTGCCGTTTTGTCCGACCTGTTGTCCGACGAACAAGTTAATTAACTTCATCACATGGCTGGGATACATCAACTCGGCTTTAAATCCTATTATTTACACAATATTCAATTTGGATTACAGGCGAGCATTCAAACGATTGCTCGGCATCAAACAGTAGGCCTGTTATTCCGTACGGTGTGGAATCCATAGCAACCAACAATATGCATCATGATGGCTCAAAGATCGACACATGTGCTGCCAGCTGGGAGAGGTCGTTTAATTTGTAGCTATTTTAATCGTACGCATATACGACATAAATGCGAGTCAGGTTGGTGCTCCCGATATCTGCAACCAAAGGCAATTCAAGACACTACGGATGTATTTGATTTCTGTATCAGAAATTCAATCCGATTTCTCTAATTTGTAAGTGCGCCGGTACCTGGGCTAGCGGATCTCAGAATGAAGTTGCGCTTCACATCAAAAAATAAAAATTACTATTACATCGATGCACTTCAACCACGTAGAACACTTGTAAATGTCACGAAAGGAATAATGTAGCATTCTTGCTGCCCGAATGTCCCAAACCTAGGTCTAATAAGCAGCCATCAATTATGATTTTAATTATATCTCAACAAATAACAGACCTACAGACGAAATTCACGCTTGACATTTCCGTAACAATTGAACATGACAAACAATAACTAAACTTGCAATTTTCACATGAAAACTGTTCACGAACATAGACTCAATATCGGCCTACTGTCCCCATTTAGGCCCAACAATGGATTTAACGTTGACTCCTCGAAAACAGCCCTTGAGATGAGATTGCTTGTTGTATTTTTTTTTTCAACTCACTCAGGGTCACTGTTAGGCACAACACGTTCTCTTCATTTTAGTAGTAATTTCACCTAGTAAATTGAACAAAAAGCGTTTTAAAGACCTAAAAACTTAAACGTGATTCTAATTTCTGATGATACTTTCAAAAGAATTACAAAAAGGATTTCAATCAAATTATTCGGAGCGTATCAATGAGCTTCCGCGAGGATTGCAAGGGTATTTTGAATAGAATACTTAGAGAATGCAATACAGAATGCAAGAGACATTTTCAAAAGAATTTCAATCAATCTCTGATCTGATCTCTGATAACAAGGGAATTTTGTGGAAAATTCAAAGCTAATTTTGAACAAATACTTATAAAATGGTGCCGAGAGTTCATAAATAATTTACAGCAGAGTTTTGAAGTTAATGAACATCCTGGATTTCTGAGGAATATTCCAAGCAACTATTGAAGACAAAATTTTACGCGAGAATCATTAAGAAATTTAAGACATTAGCTAAAGCATTATGGATAAAAATTTAAGGAAACACCAGAGAGAATAACAAGATTAGGGTAAATGGATGTAATGTCGGCCTAAATGCCCCTAATTTGGGCCCATACATAAATTCAGCAATCGACTAAATTTTCATTAGAGACCAAAAATAGCCAATCTTAGAACCATAGGCCAACATTAGAGCCATTTCCCCTATTTGTTATTTTGTTGTAGATTATGCTTGCCATAAATTGGCTCTATCTCAAAAAGTATGCTACTTAGCACAACATCATTGCCTTCATTGAACAGCTTAGAAAATTTTATACTTAAAAATGTCCTTTTTACTTCAAGCAAGCTGCATTTAGTTACATTTTAGAGACAAGTTAAAGTTGGTGGTTTTCTACGTGTTTTCCCTTATTATTTCAAATAATGCGCAATAAAGTGTATTGTTTTGTCTAACTAAACATGCCTCTTAAAGCGTTCTACCACTCTCTCTTTGACACCAACTTTCTATCTTGTTTAGTTTTGTTGCAATTTTGTTCTAAACACATCATGTTGGGTCATCAATTAACAGTTGCATAAAATACGAATTCAACCCCACCGTGGGTTACTGTTGACGTCTGTATGCATCGCGCACAGCACACTTGATCGCCGCGTGGAGTGACGGTTCATTAGTTTTAGGTCAATAATTTCCTCGGAAAAGTGTTTCCATTTGTTGTAGTTAATCTTATAATGAAAAGGAAGTTGGGGTGGTTTCTATGATTAGAGAGATCTAAATAACAGCATTTTCGTTATTTAAGATAGACCGGCACAATGTTCAAAAAAGCTGCAAAACAATTTATTTGCAGCAACTTTGCTGCAGACAGCAATTGACTATCTCAAATGTTTCAAGTTTTATACTAGTTTGTTAACCGTATCTTAGGATAACGATTAAAAAATAGATTTTATTTAGTTATCTATTTGAACAATGATTTCAAGTAGATGATTTATCCGAAGCACTTATATCATTTATCCGAAGAAATTATAAATAATCTGATAACAAAATATAAGCGATCGCAGCAAATTCGGGCGCAGAGAGGTGCAGGTTCCAAGTGCAAATGAAATTGAGTATTCTTAAGAACGTTTTGGTAGATGATTTAAGAGGGGAATCGAGGGGGACTGCCAGCTTTGGTGAATGTTTCCGCATTTTTTACTTAATATTAAAAGGAACGCTTTTTGATGGGGTTTCCACTGTTCAAACGTTAAATATAAATGCTAAATAAATCTTTATTTGATGAATCCGTACTGTGGAAACGCGTCAAAATATTAAAGCTGACGTAAAATTGTTCTTTGGATTTACAAAATTCTAATCAAATTTACAAATTTTGAACCACCCAACACAATCACATATACGACCTGATTTCGAGAAAATGCCTTTAAAATTTGTATAATAAAGTATTATACTTTGAAATAATCATCTAGGACCATTTAATGATGAACAAGCATCATGATTTTCTGGATGAATTTTGTTTTATAAAGTTTGCCTCCGGTAAAATGTGTAACGGCAAACTTGCAATGTTCAAAAATCATAACTCAGCCATTTATTGACAAATTTCAAATGTGTTGGTGCCATTTGAAACTACATACTTTAAAGATTTATTCTACAGCAATAGATTTAAAATCTATAGATAAATTTCTGAGCAATGATTTTTCAAACACTGCCAATTTTCTGTTACACATTTTACCGGAGGCATCGTGTGTTCGGAGCAGGGGTTGAAACTGTTGACGTTTTTTATTACACTCGCTTCGTTGTCGTACGCGACAGTTTATTTGTATTCGTACTCTCATGCTCTACCGTCATCTCTCTTACACAACACAAACGGTGGAACAACATTCGAGCAACAAGAAAATTATCAAACAACTATCATATGACATGTGTTATTTCGTTCTAATTCCTCAATTTGGTATAAATTAATCCATTTCTGATCAGAAATGTTATAACTAGGACATCGCTGACTGCTATTTTCAGAATTCACACAAGCACATCATCAGCAGCTCTTATTATGAGATAATCTAAAATACATACATTCGTGACGGTCTTCGACGACAGTGTCGTATGACAGAGCCAGTCATAAGACACTTTAGTTTGGTACTGTAACTTGATAGCTTGTTTTGCAAGTATCGGAAGCAAAGGCATTCTATTATCATAGAAAATGTGTCAACTACGGTGACAGCTTACAAGACTGGTTCGGAATGTTGATGGCTTATGGGGAAACCACTGTGCCCTGTTGGGCTTGGCAAATAATCCTCACTACGATACTACCTTAGCTGTAGTGATTGAAAATAGTTTGGTGGGTTATTTTGCAGCTCCTTTTTATCCTTTCTGGTCAATAATTGTTCGTGTATAGCCGTAAATTTATTGAAAAAGCTTCTTCTTCTTCTGGGATTTCCTAAGAAATTAGCAAATAGTTGTATTTGGGGAACATTAGGGGTAGCGTAATACTTTAGACAATATTGATGCTCCAGCCCATCTAACGATCTTTCTGTGTGATAGGGGATGAGACAGAATCCTACATATTATTATCCTCAATTATTAAACGGAACACGTGCGGCAAAAGTTCGATGCATCTCCCCAGAGTGCAAGTCTTATAGCGAACAAACCATAGCACGGATATTTTTCACTGGTGCGGACCAAAAGACTCAAGAAAAAAAACACGTAACATTTTCAAATTGGGCTATAAATAGTAAACGTATGACAGCTTGAAAAGACATTCCAGGAATTAGCGCTAAACGAAAGAAGCATCGATTAAAAAAATAAAATAAAATGCTATATACAAATTTTGTATACCGCAGAATCCCGTTTATTTGACTAGCTAAAATAGCAACTAAATGGTGCTTATTTATTTATTTTTTTCATCTGGTACCCACACACAGGTGCGTAAAGTCATTGGGCACCTGTGTAGAGATACCAGTTTCTAAATGAGCACAAATTAATTGCCATCTTAGCTATGCATTCCTACTAACGAGGTTCTACGGTATTCCGCAAACAATTGACTGGGTCGCCATTCTTTACGTAAATAAAGATTTCCTCTTTTAAGAAGACACTGGCTCTCGAGGGAAATTATCTGCTGTTTCTATTTATTCTCGTCCAAAAACGAGAGCTATTCTGTTCGAGAACGATCCCATATCGAAACACGCAACGAAACTAGCCGTGACTGACAGCCTGAAATTGGTTCAGTTCGATGAACGATGTCATGCCACTACTGCTAGGCGGTTAATTGCGTTCTGATGAAGTACATACCCGATGCTAATTAATTAACATCAGCATACATCAATCTTATCATGAGAAATGTGTGACAATACAATCGGGGCACCCAGTCATGGTCTACTTTGATCAATGGTCTTTCATCATCGGCAATGCCAATCAGAATTATAGAAGGGTGAATAATTCAATCCAAGCATGCCAAATATTCTTGGAAGGGGAACATCGTTCGAAGGCGACTGCTTGGATTGTGTGGAATGTTTATCATGTAATGTTGAAGCTATGCATATTTATGCACTTCCATATCTCTTGCGTACATTTCGGAGAGAGGAAATCTCATCCTGGCATTTTGATAGTACAAAACTGTATTCGATTACTTCCAAAGAACTTTCATGATTTGGGGAGGGGTGGGGGTTAAGGCGCTTTCGTTATCAGAACCGAGCTGTTTGTTTCTGTTTCGGTATGCGAACGGATGAAGTAATCCGTTTGAGATATTAATCCTTTGGCTTATTGGGATATTTATTAGTCAGATTTACTTAGCTGGTGTTTGAACAGGACATAAGAACATATTCAAAAGATAAGTCCGGAACGGAGGATATCGAATTCCCTGCTCTCGAATATATAAATGTAACAGTTATTTCTCCCTAACCAGATGTTGAAGGGACCATCTAGTTACGGAGGTCGTGTTCGAGGTAGGCGGGATTTCCATCGAGTTGGGGAGAGTTTACTGTATGTGGAAGATGGTAATTTCCGTCAGGGAGAAACCCATCACACATTTTCGTCAATTTACAGAAAACCAATGTTGGTCTAACGAAGAAGCGTATTACTCTGGCTCGACCTCTTACAAGCCTAAAGCTATTTCCGAATCAGCTCTGTCCATTTTTAAATTTGCATCTCAAACAAGCAGCCAA